AATATTTTTAAATATTATGATCAAATTCAACAAATTACTGAATTTATAAAGGAACTCAAAACATAAATATTCATACAATTTGATATTTAAAGGAATTGCATACCTGGACCATTAAGAGCCAATAAAACAATTATATATATAGTCGACTATACTTTTTGAAAGATACTAATCATTCCTGTAAAAAAAAAAAATAAGTACATTAAAAGATATCTTAATTTCTAAAGACTAAATAAAAGAGTAACTTTTATTCAGAAAATAAACATTCATGATATTTTAATGTAATTGGTTTAGCAATTTTGTGATTGACAAATATAATTAAAATAGCAAAGATACAGTAGAGTAAAACAATAAAATTTTTATCATAAAAGCTAAACTAAACTCAGAAGGGCAACAGCTTAAGGAGAACAAAGACCTACTGTACCCATCCTGGTTTTCTTGACATCTGCATTACAGCAGCAGATTTTACAATTGGGTTGTCAACCAAATGTGGAATCCTCAGAGTTTAATCCCAAAGCATGCGTGGCATTCATTTTATCAACCAACTGATGCAATGAAAGGCTGAGTCAACCTTACCTGGACTGAGGATAGAACCCAGGACTTTTGACGTGCTACCACTAAGCCATTGGGCATAGGCATCTACTATTAAAGCCACATTATTATAATTTAGTTTTTTTAAGACTATATTCGAAAGAAAAACCAGAAAGACAATTTAAAGCTGAGCTCCTCAAAATGTCGAAATGAGTGAACATAATATAAAATACTATAATACTAAATATTGAAAGGTCATTTTCTTTAGTAGATATAGCTGCATTGAGAAATACAAATGGCAAAACATTCTGAATTGAAGTACATTTATCAAACTTACTCATAAATGAATAAACTTTATTTAATGATAAAAACTTAAAAATGCTTATTTCATTTTTATCACTATAATTTTGATTAAGTTGATAATTAAAAATTTCAAGCATAAAAAAATCCTAAAAAATTTATATTCTTTTTGAAGATCAAATAAATTTAAAAGAATTAAAACAATTTAAACTGATACAGCATTGAAACCCTCTTTTTGAAAATAAACGATAAATTACGCATTATTAAGAATTAGACTGCATTATTAAGAATTCGAGTACAACAGCTGATGGCGAATTGAAGCCAACCCAGTTTCAGATTGCTTGATACCAGCTTGTCTGGGATGTAAAGACGACTGGTATAGTAATGCTGACCACATTGCTGCTATCATGCTGTTGGTTACAAAATTGTGAAGTCTTAATCTCCACGACCCCTTTGGCCCATAATGGGCTGTTGTGAAAATGTTTTACTTTGTAGTCATGGAGAGTAAATTAGGTAGCTTCTACATCAGTGTGTTGGAAATAAAAATATATTCTATTTTTATT